ATACATATTTTTCTACAAAATCTTTGTGGTACCCGTTACTAAATCAAATCAGTGTCAGTTTGCCTAAATCCTCGTCCCAGAACTCAATGCCCGTAAGTCGTAAGCTTCTGATGATCAATCTATAGTTATAGTAAATATGAAAATTAAGGATTCTTTCCGCATATTAATGCTTTCTGTATAGTCTCTTCATGACTGTCCCGTTGCAGCGCATGACTTCAATATCCACCTCCATAGTGAATTTAATTCTTTCATCAAGTTAGCTAATGATAAAAGTACAAAGTAGTCATCTAAGCATCGCATAACAACTTGGTTATGGTGACTTCTTGAATTCCCTTTCCAACTTGTCCATGTACACATTTGCCAAAAGATGTGAGAGTGCAGATCCCATTGGTAGTCCAAATATTTGCTCGTAAATACTGCCGTTAAATGTAAAATATGTGTTTCCTTCCTTGTATATCTTCGGTAATCCCTAGGCTGTCGGTGGTCCTGAGTCATTTTTTATTAAAGATTTCATCATCTATCTATCAATTTACTAATTATTATGCATTTCCTTTAGCATGTTCTTCAGTATCCCGTTGATATTCCTGGCTGGATCCCTTCTAAGTATTTGATAAGTGTTCCGGTCGCATAAGATACTTTCCATTTTCTCCGTGTACAGTTAACTGTCATTACAACTGTGGCTCCTCCCTTATCCGCCTGTATAATTTTTGGTTTTATTTTACTTAATGATTATATAGCGACATAACTCTTACTAATTTTATTTGTTTAATTTATATTTTATCGTATGACGGCTTTTGCTTAACACTGAAATTTATATTCGTTATTAAAAACGGCTTTCCTATATAATACTTCTCTCAATTTCACACATTTACTAAAAAATCTTATAAGAAGACCTAAGACCAAAAATCCTCTTCTTAATGATAGATTTTGACTTCAATATCTATCCAGTCACCATATTTTCGTTATTTCTTTTTTTTCTCTATAGCCCTTGCTCCGCTTAGCTCATCGATGCATCCATTGTCCGTTGCCTCCACGTGGCCTCTTTTGTTTATCTTGCGTGGTGAAACTTAGTCCTGCTGAATTTACTGACCATCATGATGAATTAAATGCATATACTGAAGCGTCTGCTGAATTGCAAAATGCGTCTCCAATATCCACTTGTCTTGTCCAAGAGGGCCACCAGCACAGTTTTATGCTTTATTCTCTTGTAGATCCATCGCATAGGTGCAGCCGAATCTCTTCTACTTCTAATGAGGAGTCGTTTTCTGCCACTTCCCCTCGTTCCTTAGCCTCTCCATCTTCTTCATCCTCATCATCTTCATCATCTCCGTCCTCTTCTATTTCGACGTCGTCCACTTCTCCTAATTTTGCCTCAAGAATTTTGAGAGCATTTGCTTGCATCACAAAAAAGCAAAGATTTTCAAGTAAGTCTTTTGAAAACGGAGTCATAAACATTTGTTGGCTCGCAATTGAGGCATGCGATTTATTTTGCTACGGATTTCTAATTTAATTTTGATTAGAACATTCATAAAGGGAACATGATTACATGGTCTAAGTTTTTAATCTTTTGCTCTAATGCGTTAGCCATACTTTTACTTATTATTTTATCTTTCATCAGATCTCTTTTTATTTCGTATCACCAGCAGTGCGATTGGTTTATTAAATTTTTTTTAGACCTTGCTAAGAATTAGCTAAATTCACTTTGCAGACAATGAATCACTTACTGATTAGCTTATAGCAGTCGTAAACTATTTATTTTCAATATCCTATATTTATACCGGTTAGGGTTAGGGTTAGGGAGGCTATTGCCATACTTAAGGAAAGAAATTCTACGAGCAGGAGATTTGAAGAAGGCAGGGCTGGTCATAAATGTGTCTATTGCTTAAGCAAACTCATAGAAAATAAGGACTTGGCAAGATCAACAAAAAGGCGATGCCTGTATGAAGGAGCTATCCGTTACCTAGGGCAAAAGAGATAATTGCAAAGAAGAAGCTTGTGTGAGAGATTCGGAAATCAAGCGAGGACTATCTCAGTAAGTGTAGTTTGTTCAAAGAAACAACTACAAGTGGGTTGACCTTGTTGTCGCAACTTGGTCTTGTTTTCAGGGAGACCATGTAGAACGCACCTAGTCCG